GTAAGAGAAATGCTGTCCTTTTAATAATTTTGACCCCCTCGAGGGTTGCAACGGGTGATGCTCCAACATGAATAATACTGCAACGTTGACGCTCGTGTTTCTTTTGCCATTTAATCGATAGACCTGGTAATATTATGAAGGCATCTTTCATTGACTCGGAAAAAGCGTGCGGTTTTTTGCTTTGTAACAGGGTATAAGGGATTTATTCTGACTGTGAGACATCCACGTGCAGCCTGGCTTGTTTCATTATACCTCGATGTCGGAAATTACACATCTTGAATTCTGTCTATTTATTGGTTCTACAAAATGCATGAAAACATAATTTCTTAGGTTCAACAAAAACATTAATCAATCACTGGATATTCTGGATGGACTGCAAAATAAAGTGTTGTGGGTGCAAAAAGTTGTTTGGCTTCTTCTTTCAGAGAAATGCATTGTGTTTTGAATATTCTCTCATTAACCAAACATCTAAGGTCATGGTTTTTGCCTCCTGTCCTCCATAATTGCCATTTGTTACAGAAGTAAGTTCATGTAATGAAATCAGAAAGTATCCTTCTTTTTTCAAGGGTCCTCATTACACATTATGCAACAATTACTTATGTAACAGCTTTTTGTCGTCAGTTTCCCACATCATAAAACACGATCATCTGCTGTCGTCATTTCCCTGGACATCAGTGCATAGCTCAATGTGGAATTAGCAGTAATACCCCTCTGCCTATAATGTGTGTAGTCCGACCATGGCGTCTGGAATATATAGCAATCAGTGGTTCTTATTTGACGTTTTCACTTCTCTCGGGTAATTATTTAATCAACGATTGGGTTAATCATGTAGTTTGATCATTGATTTGTAGAATGTTTTGGTATAGTTGGGTACGATTGAACAAAATAGAGTGCAATGTCCATGGACACAAGCGTGGGAAGAGGGACGGCAAAGTGAGAATACCCCCATTGGAAATGACTGAACATGGAGAAAGCATCAACTTTGTGATAGATACCACAGGATAACATTCAACAGGTTTATAACCTTGTGATCGTGTTAAAGTCTGTCTTGACAGTTTAGAATAACTGGATAAAAAATTAAAGTGAAAGATTGTTATGAAGATTGCAGTAGTTATGACATGAAAAGAAGTAATGTGTAGGATCCTGATAAGGTTATCCACAGGACGAGTAGTAGACTTATGAATATGTCTATGATATTTGTGTGCATTTAAATCACTGCATTAAATCACGGGAATAGATAATTTGACAGAAACGGGTACCATAATAGGAATTTCTGTTGTGGTGATACTTTTAGTGAAGTCATATACAGTATTTTTGGACTGAACATTATCCGGTATTTCCTTCCACACTCGCACTGTATCAGATGAAAATGATTTGTAGAAGTTAACTTTTCTAGCATTTACAGTCTGTAGCTGTGAAGAGGTTCTTAAATTGTAACGTGCGCCCGTTGAGACATTAGGAGGAACAAGATTACATAGATATTCAGGATTTGTTAATGTTTTTAATTTGAGATTGCGATCTTTTGGATGTAAGTGAATGAGTGAGTCAACTTCACAACACTTTGATTTCTGTTATGTCACGGCATGTCAAGTGGGTGTGAAAGAAAACCTAGAAACATAATCAGGGAGATCCAGGATTCCAACCTAGGGGGGTGCTTTCTCACACGCCTTAGGGACGCAACAAACGACAGGGCCAACAGTGATCACCTCCTTTATGACAGCCCTACTGCATTAGGATTTGCAGCAATGTATTGTTACGTGTTGATTCCCAAAATAAAACACAGGTTAATCAAGAATTCGGTAGGAACCAACTAAGTTGTAACCACATAAGATCAATGAACAACCAACTGATCATATTGAAAGGGACAGGATGAGGTTTACAACGACACAACTGGGTCAAGTTTTCTCCAAAAACTTATATAATACGAGCGCTTCAATCAGTTTGCTTTCAATCAACACTACACTAGAGGAGACATCTGAAATCGATGATGATGAGGCCAGGAGAAATGACCAACGAGCCTTTCAAAGACTTGACAAGTTTTTTATTGACAGATGTGTGTATACTTATGATATTGACAAGGGCGAGGTTGTTATTTTGAATCAGGCTGACAACGGGCCAGGAACTTCACCTGCAGACTCACAACCCGATCTGTAAATAATATTCCATGGAGAAATTAAATTTGTGATACATTTAAACATAATGTTTCTGAGTCATTGTCTGCACTTCACATGGATGAGTTTATGCATTTAATGTCATTTAATATTGATTTAGCTGTTGAAGCTTTGACCAGTGCTGTACATAATGGTTCTATTTCATGCGGATTACTTTCTAGAGGTAGAAAATCAAAACGTACATCTGGAGATAAATGGTTCGATAAAGACTGAGGATATGAAGACAAAAAGGTTTAATGTATTGGATAAGTTTAAAGTTACTGGTGATAAGGAGATTCTTTCTAAATATTCTACATTAAGGAATAGTTACAGGTCTTTATGCAGGAAGAAAAGATTAGAATACGAAGAGACTTGTGTTCGTGAACTTGTAGACAGGAGTGGAGAAAAAGATATGTGCATTGACAAACAAGACAATTTGTAGGACTGTTTCCAACAAGATTTGCCAAGAAGATTGATTTGATTATTTTAAGAACATTTTAAACCATACTGATATACTTGTGGACTCGGATATTATTGAGCAGGTAGATTATGTTATAAATAACCATAATGAACAATTGTGTACAATTTCTGTACTGATGATGATGTAAATAATATTCTTAATGGTGATATTACACATGAAGAGATCGAATCATCCATAAAAGATCTGAAGCTGGGTAAAGCTGCAGGACCAGATGGTATTAAGGCTGAGATGATCCAATGTTGCAGTTCTGTTTTAATTCCATATTTGTTAGTTATGTATAATAATATTTTGCCAACGGGCAATTTTCCATCCGAATGGGCTAAGAGTGTTATTGTACCACCCCATAAAAAGGAAGCTTTGACTCTGTTAATAATACAGAGGCATATCTTTGATGGATATTTTTGGGAAGTTATTCTCCTCTATTCTAAATGCGCGTCTTGAACGTTTTTTTCTGATCACTATAACCGTATATCTGAGGCCCAGGCAGGATTTAGGAATGGCTCTTGCACAACGGATAATATTTTCACTATGCAATGTCTTGTACAAAAGTATTTATCTAAAAGTGGCGGAAGTATTTACTGTATTTATGTGGAAAGAATTTGATTCTGTTAATAGGAAATAACTTTGGTATTCAATAATGAATAATGGCATTCATGGTAAATTATTCTCTGCACTGACAAATATGTATTCAAATATAGAAGCAGCTGTAAGAGTATCCAACACTACTATTACTGATTATTTTGATAGTTTAAGTGGAGTCAGACAAGGTTGTGGTATCAGCCCATTTTTATTTGCAATGTTAATTTCAGAACTTCAATCTACGATTGAAGATGCAGATGGAAGAGGTTTATTCACAGGTGTAAAATATTTGGAACTACTGTTATTATTGTATGCTGATAATTTATGTATTTTTTATGGCAGTGTTATATGTTTGCAAAGAAAGATTGACATTTTATGTAAATATTGTAAAACATTGGCTTACAGATAAATATGGATAAGTCAGAAATGTAGGTTTTTTTAAATGGTGGTTATTTACGACTTTATGAGAATTGGTATTTTGATGGAGAGCTACAATAGACATAAACGTATCATAATTATTTATGTATTATGTTTTCCACTAGGTTGTCATGGACAGTGTGTACAAATACTCTTGTTTCAAAAGCCAGTAAAGCTCTGTTTGTTATAAAGCAAGTACAGCATAAATACCAAAATATTCCCGAAATATGTTATTTAAGTTGTTTGATTGTGAAATAAAACCTATTTTGTTATATTGGGCGGAGGTTTGGGGTTCCACGAAAGAGCTGTTTTTGAAAGATTTCATAATAACTTTTGGTTAATATGCATTGGGTGTTTGTAAACATGTACCGAGTAGTGCAGCTTTAGCCGACTGCGGCATACAAGGACTTTATATACATTACAACCAAAAATGTGTAAAGTACTGGTGTAAATTATTAAGCATGTCGGATGATCGTTATCCCAGACAATGTTACCTACTTATTAAGAAGTTAGATTCAGCAGGAAGGAAGACATGGGCATCCTGTATAAGATTGTTGTTACACACGTATGGTTTCGGATATGCATGGGTTAGTCAAGAGATTGGAGATATTTCATATTTTCTGTCGATGTTTAGACAGAGATAAGAAGATTGTGGAAAACAATATAGTTTTAGTATTATTCATTGTTTCAAAACGACTTGCACATTATAAGAATATTAAGTCATTGCTGACTGTTGAATATTATCTTACAAACATCAATGTTAGGGAATTAAGAAGATATATATGTTTGTTGAGATTGCATGAACTGCTGTTGCGTTGTAATATTAGATGTAAAGAAGCTATAACTGTTAACCGAATTTGTAGAATGTGTCATACCAATAGCATTAAAGATGAACTCCATTTCATATTTGATTGCTAGGCATATGTATCATTAAGAAATACGTACATACTGAAGTGGCATATTTCATCAAACATTTGCATATTTCATAAATTACTGACTTCTAAGGATGTGTCAATCCTTAACAAATGTGCTAAGTTTGTTAAAGAAGCTCTAAAATGTAAATATGCACTTGATAGTAAGTATATTGTCTCATCAACCGCCTAATTGTCACATATATATGATATTGTTGAATCAACTATGTACATGGGCCTGATGGCCTACAAAACAGAAATAAACTTACTAAACCTGAATGAGGATCCCCGAAAAAAAGGATAATTTCGGATTCCATCACGTGATCTTACTTCTGCCACAAGTGGCAATGATGGAGGACAGGAGGCAAAAGGTTAAAGCCTTAGGTTTTATGTTTATGTCAGAATATTCAAATCACAATTTCTCTGAAAGAAGAAGCCAAACAACGTTTTGTACCCTCAACACTTTATTTTTCAGTACATCCAGCATTTCCAGTGACTGATTAATGTTTTTGGTTGAACTTAAAAACAAATTAGTGTTGCATTTTGTACAACCAAAAAGTAGATACCTTCTCTTTGGAGACTTTATTTCCAGCAGGGCGCATGACTTGTCACGGGACCGGTCGTCCACGTGTGACGTCACGTCAGCATGACAACCATATTCGGCTCCAACATCTAGCAGTAGGTACAAATTTGCTTCCACGTCACCGTCAGGCAAAACTAGTTTCGTGTACACAGCATCTGAGGTTCAGAAGACAAGACTTGGACAGTATACGGTTCACAGATGAGTCCAGGTTTCATCTGGACAGCTCCGATGGTTAATGGCAATTAGAATGGCGTACGCTCCCGGAACTGTTCTACCCTTTGTGCAAATGCAGGGACAAAACGTCATGTTTACATAGAACATGTCTGGAATAAGATAGACCGACGCCTACGACAGGAGTAATTCAGTTGGGCCAATCATTTTGATTGACATTTGGAACACTATCCCCCAGGATTCAATCACCTGGTGTCTTCATTGCGCCGCCCTTGCCTCGCCTGTATCAATGCAAATGGTGGTCACAGCCAGTATTGACATTGTTCATTCCATACCTCTTTTACCGCATGCCTCTCTGCCTCGTATTACCAGGTATGTTTGTGATACAACATTGATTAGACGATGACTAAATAATATGTTGTTATTTTCATTAACATTTACTACACGTCATATAAAGCACAATTACTATTTTCCGTTAATATACAACACTCTTGCAAAATATGGATTTAATGCCACCTTTATTGATGTTTGCTCTAGTGTGTATGATGTATGGTTACATCAGGTGATTAGGGTATCATTTATACAAAAAAGGAGATAGTCTGGCATGACTTCACTAGGTCTTTGATGAATCTATAGTCTTTTTGTTCTTGCGATGGTTGAAGTTGATGTCTTCTAAGTGCATGGAACTTCGTCGGCCATTTCATCTAGAGCTTGCTCACCCCATTGTTTATTTGGCTGCAGCGACTGTCTAATTTTCTGAAATATATATTTGTAAAAACTAGCATGACTTTAGGAACCGTCAAGAGATTAATTGAAGCATTGTAAAATGATATGTAAAATATTCCCAGGAATAACACTGTGATTAATCAATTAACAGCTCTTGAATGTGATATGTTTTACTGTAAAACACTGAAATTTCTCTAAGCTTCATTTTCTGTTCTATCGTAATATTGGGCCAAAGTTTGCTCACCATGAAGCTATGAATAAACAAGCTACGGTGGGTATAATTTTGAAATGTATCAAAACATAATACTATCATAACCATGAATTGTGCACGTAACAAATTGATCTGAATGCATAATTATATCTGCTCTCCAAATAATCAACTAAAAAATAGTTGTGTAATTTAAAATAGGTTTTATTTAATATTTTATAACAACAAACAAACGTTGGCCCAACCAATCCTGATGGTTGAGTTTAAAACTTTGAGCCAACATTGTGAGGACCACAACATTTCCAACCACTCACCACAGCTGGTCCAGCTTTGCCATACTATCATTGGTGTAGCGAAATGAACAAAAGATGGAAGGAGAGCTAACTGTGTGAATACTTGTCAGCCATCAGACACTTCAAGGTGTCACAGGTACCCATAATGGTTGTTCATACTACAGATAGCTGCATGTGCTACCTCAGTTAAAGTGTTTCCTGGAGTCCGCCAAACTGCCCAGATGAAGAGGGCAGGCAAGGGAACAATGGAGGCACAGGATATCATCCAGCCGACTGCAGTGGCCCAGGCAGGATAGATGTAGTCCTCGTACTTAGGAGGTCGGTAGGAGTAGAGGGAGTAGCCGAAGGTGATCTGGATGAAAAGATGACAAGGACCCTTGTGTGTACCATTCTTTGCATTTTATATTCTTGAGAGGAGAGGCAGAGATATATTTCTAATAATAAGGTGAGTGCGGGAGGGAGTTTAGTTTAATGTCGCTTTCAAAACAGTATTCCAGCTATATCACAGTGTGTCAGCATAATGTTGAAGGAAAGCCCGAATTGAAGCAGTTCTCAGACGTTTACCACTTTGGTGCAACGCACGAGAACGGGTATGGTGTTTTACATTCTGTGGCATGGCGAGTGAGTGAGTGAATGTTGTTTAACGATAGTCAGCAATAGTCCAGTTATCAGTTGGACCTGTAAGTAATGCAATCGGAACCAGAAAAGCCAGTGACTGAAATCCCACACAATTATCTATACTCCACTGAGAAACGGACACTATCCCAGATATGTGCCACTCTGACGAAACCCATGAGCAAGTTGCTGACAAAAGTAGAATTATAATAAGGGTGAATGTGGGATCGAGAAAGAGACGCACAGGGACTGATATCTTAGATAGCTGGGTCTCACGTGCCTCCTCTTGATCCCGTGATCATAAGATTCTGGTACGACTAAGGGAAGAAGGACAGAGACTGATACCTTAGACAACTAGCCCCCTCTTGATAAATGGATGGCAGACAGCAAAAAGAATGAATTGCAAAAACAATTTAAATATTCATTTTTGAGACACAGGGAATTTGCAGAGACCAATGTTGCTCTTTATTACCTATTTCTTAAGTCACTCAACGAAAATGACTAAATTTGCTAAAATCGCTATCGTGCTATATTCAATGATGACCTTCCTGGTCATGCCACGAAAATGGTTGAAAGTGTTCCTCTGGTGTTATGTGTGGATCACCTATTTGATTTGTTGAAGCACTGTTGATGTTATTCAGTATCACTCACCCTTATATTTAACCTACAAGGAAAATCTAAATGTTCAAAAAACATTTTGGGAGAAAATAATTTAAACCTAAATTTTAAACACCATCTAATAAACATGAATCATGACACAAGTTTATTTATTTGCTCTCTTCGATTCATTGGCTCCAAAGCTTTGACATGTTGAAGAAAGGGAACAACCCCTTGAGACCTCTACATAGCTCTTACCCACGCTTGTCATTACACATACAAAGTAATTATAGTGTTGGGACATCCAATGACATTCAATCTGCCAGATAAACTGCATTCTTCAATGAAGAGACAAAACCCTTTCCTTAATCCTTGTTCCAGGAGGTTAACGTAGCGTTAAAATATTGTCCCCCTGTGTGACACATAATCCTATCATAATCGATGTTACTATCTTCAACCAGTGTTTTTAAGCCAACTCATTGCTGACAATTTTTAATATTGGTTAGTATTATGCACAACCACGAGAAGCTAAAGTGATGACGTAAATCCTGCTGGTGTATCATGCAGGAAGCCGAGGTACTGTAAGTCCCCATGATCCCCAGCGAGGTGGCCTAGCTTTGGTTACTGGTGGCCTATAGCCCGTGTTTTATAACTGTATTATATTGTTATGCTCAAATATGTTTCATAAATTGTTTTTAATATAGTATGCATGCTCAAGTATGTTTCATGAATTGTTCTCAAATGAACTTGGTCTCGTCGCTATATGGCCGAAATAATTTTGATGCGACGTTAAATTTTAACTCACTCACTCACCCATAATCCTTGGTGCAATGCACATAACACATAACATTATAAAATCAAAACATTAATAGATTTCTAAGATATTATTATTAGATTTTAAAAAGTCTTCTCACTGCTTGAATTCAAACACAAAACAAAGCATGTGCAATGGAAAAAATGTCATTGTTAAAATATACATCACACAAGAATATTATTAAAGCGTTAATGTGTGTAAAACACGATTACAGGGAATTCTAAAGGTACGAGTATTATTTCTGATATTCCGGGGACACTGCAAAATATGTGAATATTGCATAAGAGTTTCCAGAATATGGTAGAAATTAACAAAGAAAATATTCTTTTCTTTTTAGGTGCGGACGTGATCAGCTGCCGTGAAATGCCTTATACTATCTGATGATGTATGGTGCCTTGGATATAAATAATAACATTAATAGAAGAATCAGTTGAATCAAATTGAAAGTTAAAGTTGTCCTACCACAAGGAGTAATGGCGATGCAAACTTGATTAACATGATGAAAAGCTCAGGGATCTTCTTCCCCCACATCAGCTGGACGTCCGCTTGAAGTCTCGTTGTGCCTTAACGGTATAAACATAGTAAAGACCAATATCAGTTCAATATACAGTGAACATAGTTCTTATCAAAAGACAAACTATTAAAACACATTGGGGAAATACAAGCAATGATTCTTTCAAAGCATGCAGAGGTTCTCATAGTTAGTGAGTGGAGACAAAAGCAATGAAGGCTTTGACCAACCACGAGTTCATGTCTGTGAGTGAAACTGAAGGTACATACAGAACATCAATGTTGGGGAATAATCAGCCTTGATTATCTGCCGAAACAGATCCAATAGGGTGTAAAGGCAGAATAGTAATGAAACTAGATTGGAACCTCTGTCGTTTCTGAAAATTCTCGCATATCATTTGTGATATTCCATACTTCTTGTAACAGTATACATAGTGTATGTGTATCAGTAGATTTAACTCTCTTGTTTTTGTCCTGACTGGACCCTCAAAGTACGAAGACTTAGGCCCCACAAAACACAACAGATTGTAACTTCATTTTGGGTAGGAACATGCATGCACAATAGACGGTGATGAATGAGCATACCCGCTAGGACACCAGCCTTCCTTATTTTACGATCATGTAATACTCTTCCAACATATAATGTATAAATGCTTCTCTACAACATGATATATATCATTAAGATCTGAAACAATATGAAGGCAAAATGACGTTAGGGTGGTGAGTTAAATGCCATATTCCTTTATAAATAATTCAGAAGTGTTGCAGCATCATTCAGGCTTCTCACCGTAGAGCCACCCCATCACTATGCATTCCGACAAGGCGAAGAGTGCTGTGGAAGGGAAATAAGCGTACCATTCCACTAGTGTCAGCATGTATATCCCACCCTGGAAATGGACATAAATTGGATTTATTCCCATTCAAACTTTTCAGAAGGATACATGCTTTTCTTCAAAAGTTGTTTGATCGGGACGACAATATTAACGGCCTAGGTGAAACTTTCAAAATGTATTTTGTAGACGTGTGAAGAACATTTGTAAATTCTTTTCAGGTGAACCATTGACTTGTCTTTGTATGTATTTGTGACGGTGCCATCACCTTTTTGCGAACACCTGGTATCATAACTGTTTTATAATGCTTTTTGACATAAATACATGCTTATTATAGAGCTGTAATCGTACAATGGGCTCTGCTTATGGCAGATATTTTTAATGGTTAAAGAAATGGTTCAGTCACTATTATTTATATAAGTATATCTGTTGTGGGCTTCAGTCAGTTCTATCTGGACCATGACAGTCAGTAGGAAAGAGGTAGTCCTGTGAAAAATACATTCATTAGTCACTCAGATAATTTTCTGAGAGTATATTTTGAACAAAAAAAGTTTTTACCTGTAAAAGATAGATGATGGCAAAAGGGAAACTGCTTAAGAGGATCAGAGCTGTTGGAAGCCACCGCCGCTTACGTAGACTTGGGAACATATCCACAAATGCTGATGATATGACTTCAATGGCTGGCAACTGTAAAATGTAAGATTAAATGTCAGCATGAAAGCACATGTTACTTGCAGCAAGAGACAGCTCACTGGACAAGTCCCAACACATAGACGTCTTTCTAACAGAGCGCTTGTAATGACTTAGAGATGACTTATAAACATGAAAAGAAAGTAATTTGTCGCTTTTATGTAATAAGGTGGTGCATTTTCTAAAAGGAAGATTATTTAAGCGTCACAGTGAATGAGTACTGTGAATTTCACATCACAAGGGATGCACTGTGGAGGGCTTCTGCTTTTATATAATATTCGTGAGAAACACGAATGTGACAAATGCAATGAATGCTACATAGCATGTCTATATTGTCAACCCAAGTAAGTATAACCAATGTTTGGTTTAAAGTTAGTGATGTCTGTTAGGTTTGTTCCAACTTAGGTGGGTCAAAAATATGCTACTGGCAAATCATCATATCAAATAAATTTTAGTTTTCTTGCCCATTTCATACAGGCACCATTACTCATTAAGGTCTTTTCCTCTTGTATATTCTACCTGACAATCTATTTCCAGCGTCATCAGCATGATAAATGTCAAGGTTGACCATAACTGTGGCAGGGGCAGATAAGTCAGGACTTGCGGATACACAATAAATGCAAGGTTGAAGCCTGAAAGAGACGGTGGTCATGATATAATAGTCAAATACATTAAAAACATCCATATGGCTTGGGATGCCACATCACAGACAGAAACACACTAACAACCATCGAGCGAAACCAAAACACTGGAAGACTTTATGTAACACAGGACCTAAATATGCCACAATGGGGTTTTTGGTCTGCACAGAACACCAATGTTTTAACCACAACACATTTGTGGAGAAAAGACATAGTGATGATAAATACAATTATATCATAATGTACGTATCTCTCGATCTGCCAGCTTGATGTGGGAGGAATTCCCGAAGTGATGCAGGTCTAAGACATTTACCACTTTGGTGAAACCCACGAGCGCTGGACAAGTCAAGGCATATGCTTTGAACCGGGACTCGAACCCAAGATCCTAGTTTTCTGGCACGATTACAATAACAAAGGAATACATACCCGAATATTTGCAAAGCATGTAGACTCCTGTGTATGTATGTCAGTAAGTAATGTATGTAACGCGGTTCTTGGGCCACCCTGGTACTGCTGTACCAGCCTCAGTATTAACCTCCCATCATTAGCATCACCTGGTTGCATGCACTCCATGACTAAAGCAGCGCTAACTAACCCGATGACGCAAAAGCCTCCACTGTCACTCCACGTTGGTAGGCAACGTGACCGATGATTGAAAAGAAGGAAAATCCAACCAAGATAGTAGCAAGCAAGTCCACGATACAAACCCAAACTGCGTCTCTAAAATGGAAATGATTATTCATTGAAATCGAGATAGATCTGTTCATAGTAATGGATGATGGTATTGTTTTATGGTATGCAAGTTGATGATGTGATACGTTCCATGACAGGTGATGATGTTATAATTACCCTTGAAGGTGATGGTGTTACAATTACATTTACAGTCGATGGTGTTATACGTTCTATTACAGATACGTATGTTATAATTACCATTGTAGTCGATAATGTAACAATTACCATTGCTGGTTGTGTAACAATTACCATTGATGGTCATGATGCTACAATTACCATTGACAAGGACGATGTAACAATTATCTTTACAGGTCAAGATGCTACAATTACCATTGCTGGTGATGTTAAAATTACCATTGCAGGTCACGATGTTTCAGTTACCATTGCAGGTCAAGATGTTAAATTACCATTGCTGGTAGTGTTATAATTACCATTGACAGTGATGATGTTATAATTACCCTTGAAGGTGATGGTGTTACAATTACATTTACAGTCGATGGTGTTATACGTTCTATTACAGATACGTATGTTATAATTACCATTGTAGTCGATAATGTAACAATTACCATTGCTGGTTGTGTAACAATTACCATTGATGGTCATGATGCTACAATTACCATTGACAAGGACGATGTAACAATTATCTTTACAGGTCAAGATGCTACAATTACCATTGCTGGTGATGTTAAAATTACCATTGCAGGTCACGATGTTTCAGTCTCCGTTGCAGGTCAAGATGTTAAATTACCATTGATGGTAGTGTTATAATTACCATTGACAGTGATGATGTTATAATTACCCTTGAAGGTGATGGTGTTACAATTACATTTACAGTCGATGGTGTTATACGTTCTATTACAGATACGTATGTTATAATTACCATTGTAGTCGATAATGTAACAATTACCATTGCTGGTTGTGTAACAATTACCATTGATGGTCATGATGCTACAATTACCATTGACAAGGACGATGTAACAATTATCTTTACAGGTCAAGATGCTACAATTACCATTGCTGGTGATGTTAAAATTACCATTGCAGGTCACGATGTTTCAGTTACCATTGCAGGTCAAGATGTTAAATTACCATTGCTGGTAGTGTTATAATTACCATTGACAGTGATGATGTTATAATTACCCTTGAAGGTGATGGTGTTACAATTACAATTACAGTCGATGGTGTTATACGTTCTATTACAGATACGTATGTTATAATTATCATTGTAGTCGATAATGTAACAATTACCATTGCTGGTTGTGTAACAATTACCATTGATGGTCATGATGCTACAATTACCATTGACAAGGACGATGTAACAATTATCTTTACAGGTCAAGATGCTACAATTACCATTGCTGGTGATGTTAAAATTACCATTGCAGGTCACGATGTTTCAGTTACCATTGCAGGTCAAGATGTTAAATTACCATTGCTGGTAGTGTTATAATTACCATTGACAGTGATGATGTTACAATTACCATTGCGCGCGATAATGTAACAGTAACCATTGTATGTGATGACGTTACAATTGCCATTGAAGATCATGATGTTAAAATTACCATTGATAGGGATGATGTTACAATTATCTTTGATGGTCAATATATTACAATTACTAATGCAGGTCATAAAGTTAAAATAACCATTTACAGAGATGATGTAACAATTATCTTTGCAGGTCAAGATGTTATAATTACTATTGACAGTGATGATGTTACAGTAACCATTTCAGGTGATGATACAATCATCATTGACAGTGATAATGTTGTGATTACCATTGCGGGCCATGATGTTACAACTACCATTATATGTGATGACATTTAAAAAGTAATAATGTTACAAATGCATGTCTTGATGTTATAAATACAATTACATATCACAACACAATTGATGTAGTTGAGTTTCAAATTATCTGTTTGGTTTCGTTTCAAAATGCAAATTGTTTTCCAATCTGGTAGCATGGTCATTGTGACAAAGATACCTACCTTAAACAGTTATTGTTGACCTTGTTGTATCTCGACAAGGTTAAATTAAATCCCATGCCAACATTCAAGGAAAATAAAGCGTAACCGCATGCTTCAATCCATATCTGGTGAAAAAACAATGACTCTTGTCTGCAGTTGTAAATAAACCGAGGATCAACATATACACATACAAGTCGATATTTATAATGTATAATTTTCAATTGACAATATCTTAAGTTACACTATTTCAAACATCAACTGCACTGGCGCTAAGTCAGCTCTCAAGGAATACTTCTGAATGGTCTTATCTTTTTGATTTAAAACTTTGACAACTTTTTAAGCATTTTTTCACATCATAAACAACTGCTATGGGGTATCTGAGACAATGTACCTTTGAAAATCAATTGATTTGCTTTTTCGGGACAGATTTACAACATTTCAAATATCTGGTTGCAAATTCATTCCTTACTCCAGGATTCATTGAACCAATTTATGTCTACGCAAAATACCCAGCCACAGATCATATTTTGCAAACTGTTGCAGGAATCGGTGATGGTTAACTGGACATAATCAAATTTAACAACAGTTGTTTCATTATTCAATTACATAAAAGCAAACTCGGTGTACTTCCCTTTGCCCCTCAGTTTATATATGTATTGTACAGAGATTACCGGGAATACAGAGATTTAAGCCCTGACTTGTAGCCTGTGAGATTACCGGGAATACATATATTTAAGCCCTGCCTTGTAGCCTGTGAGATTACCGGTAATACAGAGATTTAAGCCCTGACTTGTAGCCTGTGAGATTACCGGGAATACTGAGATTTAAGCCCTGACTTGTAGCCTGTGAGATTACTGGGAATACTGAGATTTAAGCCCTGACTTGTAGCCTGTGAGATTACCGGGAATACATATATTTAAGCCCTGCCTTGTAGCCTGTGAGATTACCGGGAATACATATATTTAAGCCCTGCCTTGTAGCCTGTGAGATTACCGGGAATACATATATTTAAGCCCTGCCTTGTAGCCTGTGAGATTACCGGGAATACATATATTTAAGCCCTGCCTTGTAGCCTGTGAGATTACCGGGAATACATATATTTAAGCCCTGCCTTGTAGCCTGTGAGATTACCGGGAATACAGAGATTTAAGCCCTGCCTTGTAGCCTGTGAGATTACCGGGAATACATATATTTAAGCCCTGACTTGTAGCCTGTGAGATTACCGGGAATACAGAGATTTAAGCCCTGCCTTGTAGCCTGTGAGATTACCGGGAATACAGAGATTTAAGCCCTGCCTTGTAGCCTGTGAGATTACCGGGAATACCGAGATTTAAGCCCTGACTTGTAGCCTGTGGGATTACCGCAGACGGATAAAATGTTTCAAGGCCATGGCTTATATTAAATTAGAAGTTTTGGTGGCCAGATATGTTCCAATACGAATAATAACAGTTTAGTTTATAATTTAGTATAAACTAGCCATTTTAAAAAATCGTATCCTGAGTTAATTTTATGATAGAACAAAACTGATGTACCCATATTGTGTATTGATTTTGCAAATGTTCAGGGCGAGAAATCGCAAGTATAAGCACACTGTCAAATAGAAAATATTCCAAATAATATACAGTGTAGCTTCAAGCATCACATGCCACAAATTTACAAAACACGTTTTTGCTATTGAAAGCTAAGTCATGAAGGTAGATTTCCTTCAGAAATGCAAGTGCCTGGCTTTTAATCTGATTAATAAAGATGCATGGAGGTTACATTGTAATATTTACAAAAGGAATGTCTCACCCTTTCGCGAACAACTGCTGTCATCACTATTTAATAGTGATTCCTAAACACAGGCTCGTGTTATGGTCAGAATCGTGCAATGGACTCCTCTTTCAGCAGAGACTTCTTATGAATATGGAATGAATATTTTCTAAGTGTGAAGTGTAGGATAGAGGTATGCAATCAAATTAAATTAGGTATCTTTCTAACATTGCAAATATTCAAGCAATTCCTTTGATGTTTTGGGAATTCACATGGTATCAATTTCATGTTTTCACTCAGATACTTTCTCTGAATATAAAGATAATGCTGTCTTGATTGTATTAAACATAATGGTTGTGGCAAGGATTTGGTGGCACATTTGCTGGAACCAGCAATATTTCTCTGTTTGTACGGATTCTGAAGGAACTTTGGAATCCAGTACAAAAAAGGAATGAATATGTCTTCTGGTTTTAGGTTCAGGGTGAGGTGAGGTGAAATGGTGTTTATCGTCGCGTTCAAGGATATTGCACTTATATAGCGACGTACATGCACGTGTGTGACGCTGCTTGTACTAGTTGGGTATAATGCCGATTTAATAGAGCTAGCGCACTTAGATACCATGCCACAGTTTAACGTGCATCTCCCACTCTGACACTGTATACTGACTACGAGTCGACCAGTCCTTGTGTTAGCCACTTAATGCCGAGCGCCAGGCAGGGGAACAACAAGTACAATCTTTTCACGTGTTTTAGTTTGACGCCCTCGGGGATCGAACCCGTGACCTTCTGTTCTCCGTGCAGACGCTCTACCACTGGATCAAAGAGGCAGTCTTTAGAGTCAAGACAAAAGTTGATGGTCCTAATCTTTGGGTTTGGCCGCTTTTTTCTTGTTAATGTCCTGGCCTCATATGGTGCATCTTTTTATATTTCACTTATACCAGGTTCTTTGCTTAGTTATGCTTACACATAATGGTTATGTTGTTGAAGGCCTTGTCAGTGGTTCTTAGTTCTTTCATATACGATTTTCAGAATGACCCCTAGATGAATGAAATATAATCAAGCTTAGAGAGAACACAGTATCTGACCACAAACATTACATGTAGAGCAGTCAGACTTTGGACGGCAGCAGTCTACACATGTGTACATACCCCAGGTTCTTTAAGCTTATCGAAGTTGGGTTTGATGAAATAATACATTCCTTCTGCTGACCCTGGCAGGAGACATCCCCTGACGAGGAAGACGATGATCAGGACAAACGGAAATCCCACAGTGACGTACACAAGCTGCAACAGGCATCAAAGTTACCATAGGCGTACGACATGGAAACAAAAAAACAACAATATCAGTTAGGCAATCGTATTTATTATATACTTTAATGTGGAAGACTGGGGTTTCCGAAGTTGAGAAAAGTGATATTTTCATTGCAGTGAACATAGGATATACCATGTGTCGAGTGAAATATCATATTCAAGGGTATATTTTCACGAGTGGCGTAGCCACATCAACATCTGTGAGATAAATATTAAATCAATCGACATGATATCGAAGGAAACTTTTGATATGACAAACAAAGATATCTGATGATTGTACAATCAATATTTGGAATACGATTGACACAATATTTTAGTAAGGTGTCATATTTAGAGTAAGGATCTCAGCACCAAGGTGGAGCTAACATTTAACAAAAGTAGCTCACGTCAAGTACAATAAAGGGTCAAAGGTTAAATGAAGATCAAACTATATGTAGATGGTTGGTAACACGAGGTACAACGCAGCAGTTAACATGTTTGGATCTTTTTCAACCGATGAAGGCTTGCATGTCAAATTCAAGCTTCTTTTGTCTTGTGGATTCAGTAGAGAATATTTCATCACTTACAGCCCAGGAGGATGTGACACACGGCGAATGAGTACGATTTCTTCTGATAAATTCATTGGGCTCATTAGGACAACGTTAGAGTTAAGGATTATTTTTTAATTTAAAGATTGTTTTATAACATGACCAAAATACCATCATTATCACTGCATAGATTGAAAAGCATTACAATTAAGTTTCGGTCTCTGGGACGATATTTGAAGCAACTTATATCAATATTTTGTGTATGAAAACTTGATTTGTAGTAATTTGTATCTACCATCACAGTTAATACACCAATTATTGACTTGCCTTTGCATGTGTTTGTGACGGGTGCCACCAGTGGGGATAGATACGCTCACCTTTCCGCGAACACCTGGCACCATCATTATTTCATAGTGATTCACAGACACATGCTCATGACATGACAGAATCGTACAATCGACTTGGCTTTTAGTGATATTTTTTATGAATATCGAAAGTGTTTTTCCCTTTTATTTACCTTTCCAGTCACCTTGATTCCTCGACACTGGCAAACAAACAAAATCAAGTATGTTATGGCCAGACACAGAACCAGAGGCCACCTTACTCCACCCATGTCGTGTAAACCATCAGTCAACTGCAACACCTGCAATCTGACAGTAATCCAATTGTCACCTTCATGTGGGAGGAATGCTCACGTTGAACACCTGGTATCATCACTGAGTTTCAGTGATCCATTCATATCATTGTCACCTTCACTGTACCGTTTACGCCAAATTGAACCTGTTTCAGTGGATAATCGAGACTGGTTGATGCTGAGCCAGTTAGCATCAACTTGTTATTCAATCTTAAATCTTGTATGAATCTATGCTCTTTCATGTGTGGAGAATTATGTGTAGTTTACAGGGGCCCATGGTTTTCCAAGGCTGAACGCTATTATATACCCCATAGTTAAACCGTCGGGCAAAAGAAAGTATACACTTGAAAATTGGAAGTGACCCAAAATTACAAAGGTTATCAGAAACTTACTTAGCTAAAACCAGTCGCCGAAACACTTCAAACGTTAGGTCCAAAACACAACCATTATGCCCGTATCAAATACATCACTACTGAATAAACATGTCTTGTTTGTTTCCATTTTAGCCACCATCAAACATGGGTGTATACGTTCTCTTGCCCGGCAGTGTAATTCTGACTGCCTCCGACTTGGGTCAAGACCCCAGTTTCACCGTGATCCTTCATCACGTTCTGTCAGCAGCATTCTGCACAATTTAGTTTCCCCAAGAGGGGAAACGTCACAAAGCGTCTCCCCGGAGTGTGGAAGCGCGGGGTTACGATCGCCGACCTCGTCTAACAAAAGATGTTAGAAGATGGTACTTACTGTTACCCTGCCTGGCGCTCGGCATTAAACAAGGCGTTTGGTTCTAAGTCTGTATACTGTGTCCGAGTGGGGTGTCCATGTTATGCTGCGGCACTGTGTCTCAGTGGGCTAGCACAATAAAGCCGACATTTGTCCAGACTAGTACAGGGACAGGTTACAACCCATTTCACCTCACCTCTCCCGTCCAACATTATGCTATGATAATACTGATCATGAAATACTCTTATATTCTAGCTATTCTAGCTATATTACGGCGTTCTTTAAATAATCGTGTGTGAACCAGACAATCCAGTGATTGACTTCCCGACCATTGATCTGCGCAGTTCGGATACGATTACATGTATGAAGCAAGTCACCGAGTCTGACCACCCGATCCAATTAGTTGCCTCATACGACAAGCATGGATTGCTCAAGATCAATCCTAACCCGAATCTTCACGGTTTGCTTCTCTTAGCTGACATTATGCCATAATATAACTGATATACTCCTCCAATCGTCATTAACTCGCTCAGAACTCATATATTACAAGGCCTGTCAATCAGGACAGAACTGACTTTTTTCATTAACACGTGCTGCCGTAACTGATTTTCATTTATATAATTTCCTTTACTATTTGCTTCTGTCTCCCTATGGAATTAGTTTTGAAAGATATTTGAGACTGGTTATTCTCTGTTTCATGTAGAGTAGAAATATTTAATAAAGGATTATAAAGCGTGATGACTGATAGGAATGAAGATATATTCTCTGTAAATCATAGTTGGTTGTTTCATCGAATGGATCTGATAAAAAATGAAGTCGAAAACAAAGCACATTCTTCAGAAGGATAAACCTAAGAACCATGCCTTTGCTTTAAAACTGGTTACAGTAAAACAAAGTTCTTTTGGTGGGATGAAATCAACGCTTACGTACCTCCAAAACTCTTCTGCAGCTGTTCTACAAGCATACGCTCCTCCAGTGACGTTTACCTGATGACTGTAGGCGGTGCAGTTTGTAACTTCCGTGTGGTTCATATACGTCTTATTGATGCCACTGTCAGATATACACGAGGGGGTGTTCCAGTCGTTGTCGCAATTGGCCCAAGGTAGGGTGGACGAAAACGAGTAGTAGAAGAAGTAGGCAAACCAGGAAAATATGGCATTGTAAAGTGAAAAGACAATCCACAGCAGAATCAAGATACCAACACCAATTCCTGAAAAAGTAAGTATAATAAGGTCATCAAACATTTTAAAGTCCGTGCATACACATCCGTGTGATAGCGAATATAAATAACTCACAAGAAGTTAAAGAACATCCGATTATGTCATTTTATTATAGTTAATCTGTCATGCGATGGCAATCACGCGGATGTGAATGCAAGGACATTGAAATGTTAAGGAAACCTTGTCCAAATTGATTCCTGCGACCATGCACATCTGGTCACTCTTCTGGTAAGTAATATTTATATTTACGCACGTGAACTCTGAACCAAATAGTGAAAGGTATTGCTTAAACAAATATTGATTGAACACAAATAATTAGTTTTCTTCAGTGGCTTTTTTAAATGTTTTACAACCAAATTATGGCGACAAAATAAGCATACGTATACCTTTGAAAGGTGGACACATATTCCAGGCGTTGATTGGTCCACTCTGGGAGAACTGTCCAATCACCATATCCAGGAATACACAAGGTATGACGGCGATTATGGTGAACAGTGCGAAAGGTATCAGAAACGCCCCTGGACGATAATGAAATAAACATTGGAAAACCCTTAGCTGAACTGGGATTAATTGGAATTCAAACCTGAATGTATAGCAAGGCATGTTTGCACGTTATGCAGTTAGAGAACAGAAATAACGAGACTGCGACACGAGGATATGACAAAAACATGGGTGCAATTATCTCATATGATATATGACATATATATGCGTTTGCAGAGCAGTTATTTCGTGTTGCGTGTTACAGTGTTGGCCCGAGGTACTCTGGCGTTGCGTGGTGCGTTTCTACATGTAATACAAACACTTTTCAGAACATTTTGTGCATTTTCCCCAGCAATGGCTTTATGAAAGACCCAGTGAAATGTGCTTTAGTCACCCCTTAAGGTTTGAGGATGTGCTGTACATAAATGTTGTCGTAACAAAGCCTCACCTCCACCATTACGCATACACAAATATGGGAACTTTATAAATGCCCCTGATCCAATACTGGAACCAAACAGGGTGATGATGTAGTCCATATGATGCCGCCATCTTTCTCCTGCCATGCCTGTGTTGCAAACAGATACATGTTCGAGTTTAACCTTCAACAAAATTCATATCTATAGTCGGGAAGGTAATTTAAGGTACCGGCGTTCACTGCAATATCTGAAAAACTATTGGACCTACTCCAGTCAAAGTTGGTATGAGATTATTAAACAGTCATACATAACTGGATATTACATTTAACGACTATAACATTCTTATTTGGGTAGCTGAGTAATGTTTTATAGTTGTATTTAATTTTACATGTAGGTTTCCTGGTCCGGCTGTATTCAATTCCAACGATACATATGGTATCGGCTACAAACACAGGCACCGGCGGGATGAACAAACAAGGGAACATATCGTCATTGTCAAAAAAGGCAATTGCACTTATTCTTGGTATTTTAGAATTATACAATACTCTGGCCAATGCGACATCGTCCTTTGATGGTTACCTAGTCATGTTGGTATTGTCGGTAACACACGAGCTGATAGATTTTGATAAATCAGTGTCTTATCCTTCAATTCCCTACAGTGATTTAAAACAAAGCATCCAGGAATATGTTCGTAGTTTGATGCAGGGAAGATGGGATACCCAAGTGGATACAAATAAACATCATGAATTTAAATCCAAAATAAATATTTCCAGGGATGTGATTGGTTTATTTGCTGCTCACATAACCTGTTTATCTTTCGACAAAAAGTGACGTTTACAAAGTATAAACTTCACCTTCTGACATTGACCCGATTTTTGACTGGAACTACTTTTAATTGGGAATCCCCGAGTTGAATATTTCTGTGCCATTTATATTCCCTGCTTACCACGTTTGGATTGGTAATAGTGGACAAAATATTAACATTCCTTTTTCACACAATATTTCATTAGTAACATTATTACATACTCGCATTAACCAATTGATGAAAGTGTGACATTCATGTCCCATTTCTTGGACCCTCACGTTGAATTAGATAAAATTGAATATACATCGCGCGCACAAATACTTTGCAAGTTAACAATTCTGAGGAAAATTCCCTGTGCCATTTTTGACTCATTACTAAATCACCATTACGGCGTTATGTAGTGCATTTTCTGACATGAAATATCGGATATTTACTCTGAGAATTGCATTTCAAATATAGCATATTAGTGATCAGTATACTGATCACAAGTATCTTTTTTATGAAATCACCAATGATCCTTTTGAAACGTCGCCTGTAACCCTGGAATAGATTAGAATGTTTTGGAAAATACGCAAAAATGAACGCCGAAGTGAACTTTCCGCCATGTTGAACAATGTTTACCAAAATCACGTTTCATGTATGAGACACCTATTGCACCACGTATATTTCAAACTCATCAGCGACACATAAATTGTTTGAAATGTAAACAAAGCAAAACTCAGATATAACACTGTGTAGTATGTTCTCCTATTTTGAGAGATCCATTCATCTAGTCGTTGCATACAATGGCTCAATAGTTTTAATATATACATGGGAAGAGTATCGTAGCAAGAAATGGGGAATTAAACATACATACATTACCATGATTTGATAAATTCAACAGAAATAATAAAAGTTTCCGTCCAGCGTGACGCCATGACTGACGCAATATCACGCAAAACGCTTTTCTGACAATTTCTGTTGGTTATAATGGAAAACATAAAACAAATAACATAGATTGTCAGAATGTTTCTGTTTCCTTTAATGGCACATTTATGTACCATCCCTGGCCACATTGCATGGCCACATGAATGTGTGAAAAGTGAGGATTCTCCGCTCGTGTCCCTTTGGACGAGAGAATCACAGACATGCATTTTTTGCTTGTTTTGTTTGACTTTCTCAGATGGGATAACAATTATCATTCAGCTTCTTCAAAGGATCCTTTTGATAATACCAATGCTCATTAATACTCGGTTTTTTTAAAAGAAACAGACTTATTTGATAAATTTTTATTTGGTTTAGCAGAGTGTGATATAATCATCAACTGAGAGAATAAAGTTTTAAGTTTGACCTGGTTTGTGTGATACCTAAACTGTAATATTTAACTTGCTGTTTTACTGTCCTTTGTCGACAGGTATTGAACAATAACGAATTTGTTCTCATCACGATATGGCGGAAATATTGCCGATCTGATGCAAAATTTTAACTCACTCACTCAAACAGGAATGTTTGTTGTTTAACGCCGCACTCAGCAATATTCCACCTGTATGACGACGGTCTGTAAATAACGTTTTTGATTACATTTCCAGTCATATTTTACATTTCAATATCATACATACAGTGAACATGGATTCGTTGTTACATTTAGCATAATTGTTAAAGCGAGATCTAATTTCCATTTACAAATAATAATAACCAAAACACATTATGTGCATGTTTGTGGGATGAACAGATCATGTATCATAGTTTACACAGGGTTTCTAAATAATACATTTAAAGAAGACCAGAAGGCATTGAATTACAATTTGAATATGCAATACATTTTGTGATTTCATGTGATCTAAGTATCTCTTTTTAGAATAAGTAAAAATAAGGTTTTACTTTTTGTTTAAAACATAGACTTTATTTCCATAATAACTGCATTGAATGAATTGTTTTTCTTCTCTTTAAATCCAAACAGTATGTTTTCATTAGAAAAAATAACTAATGCCTTTGGTATAGTTTCTAAGCCAATCTGAATGTTTCGTCCATATATCAGCATCTTAGTGACTATTACATAACACATGAGTAAGTGTTTCAGATGGTTCATTACATAATGAACAAACTGGCGATTCAACATATCCAATTATAAATAAATAACAGTTAGTACTTAAAATATTCTGCATAACTTTCAACTGAAACCATCTTAATTCAGTACTTTGTGTACATATTTTTGCCATCAGGTTATAGTTCACCCATTATGTATCTGTACGCTGTTTTTCAAAACAATCTTTCCATTTACTGCAAAACTTATGTTTTATCAATTAAGGGTTAAATAGGGCTTCATAAAATACCTTTCTTCCCTTTTTATTGTTTATGTTTGATCGACTATATAGCAGCATAGGCCCTTGGCAAACTTTAGCACAATGTTTTATATTATTCTGTAAATAATTGTCTATTGATAGTTCTACTCCTTCTTAGGTCAAACAGTCAGAAGAGAGTTTTAAATGTAAACGTCAACGAATGACGCACGGTGCGCCATTGTATGGTTGATTAACATAGTCATGTTGCGTTGTGTAAAGTTATGTTGTCAGCAACCATTACAGTTATATTTGATAAATTATTAAAGTCATGAATTTAGATAAATAAGGAAATAAATACCAATATGTATTTATTTCACAAAAAAACATGTTGTACTCAATAAGAAAGTTAATTTAGTCTTTGCCACCACTCAACCTTTGTCTTGAAATCTGAATCAAGTCAACTTATTATTATACGAGCATGTGTGTCATAGTGAATTTACGAAACGAGTGTCAGCGAGTGATTTTCGAAACGAGTGTCAGAATTCCCGAGCGAGAACGAGGGTAAAACATGATTTCTTACACGAGTTTCGTAAAATCACCATGACACACATGTGAGTGTACTAATTTCTTTATTTTCCATTATTTGTTGATCCTTTGAGCTCCCCGTTAGAAAAGTGCATTGATCGCCACCGCTGTCATAGAAAAAGACATAGTTGTCAAATGACGTCAACAATCGTCAGCTATGACGTCGTTTCTAGTGTGACGTTTTCCGACCTTCCGTCACAATAAGATTCGAATGACGTCAACAATGCCGTGCGGATGACGGAAACAATACACTGGTACACAGAGCAGTGTTATTTGCACTAGTGCGAATACGATGTTTATGAACTCTGTTATTTCTAACCCTATGGGTAATGAAATGAATATAAAAGCATTTATGTCCATACAAATCTGTATTTACAGATGGATCCAAGGATGGTGACGTAGTTGCGAGCGCCACTGTCATTAGGTGCAATGCTGTATCATCGAGACTAACCGATAACTGTTCCATATTTACTGCTATTCAGACTACTAAACATCTTTCGTGCAACGGCCGCTCTTAATAAAAAAATTAAACTACATAATGATCTTGCTACTGGCTACAATGACCTCATTTATATTGGTTACCCAGCCATGTTTGAATATTTAGCAACACAGTGGCTTATGCTGCTGAACAAGCAACTTTCACAAGAAAAAATACCCATATATACAAAATATACAATTTTGTATATTTGGTATTTCCAAAATATACAATTTTGTATAGTTGGTATTTCCAAAACTATACAATTTTGTATATATGGATAGATTTTACCACTGCTTCATTGAATTTTTTGAACTCGTAAGAGGTTATCTTGGGGTTTGAAACTAATGTTACCGAACAGTATTTTTGCACGTGACAATAACACGTTAATACTATTTCATTATGGCAACTATATTTGGAGTGTTATGAAATAATTTTGATTTCTTGATGTTGACAGCATTTTACATAAGAAATAGAACATTTGTGCAGATTTTAGTAACAGATAATGTAAATAATACCGCTGTCTTAATTAGATTGCGGTTTGAAAAAGCACTGTTTGTATAACGAAAGGCTGCTGCTGTTTTAATTAGGTCGGAGTTAGAAAAGCACTGTTTGTTTAACGAAAGGCTGCCGCTGTATAAACTTAATTGGGGTTAGAAAAGCACTGTTTGTATAACGAAAGGCTGCCGCTGTCTTAACTAGGTCGGGGTTAGAAAAGCACTGTTTGTATGGGGAAAGGCTGCCGCTGTCTTAACTAAATCGGGGTTAGAAAAAACACTGTTTGTATAGCGAATGACAGAAGCTGTCTTAAATAAATCGGGGTTAGAAAAACACTGGTTGTATAACGAGAGGCTGTCGCTGTCTAAACTAGAATAACCACTAAACGGAATAGCAAGAGAGTAGCCTTTTAGCGATTGTCACGATCATTGCAAAATAATAGATAAAAAACCCATGAATTTAAAATTGTACAAGGAAACATATATAGGAAACACATCGTTGGAATAAATTCCTATTATATTACGT